TAGAAGCAAGACGATTCTTCTCGGGACATCCTCTTATCATGTGAGGACCATCACAGAAGTAGCATTTAAGAGGCTTGCTACTCACCTTCTTCTTTGACACGGACTTGGCCTTGCCATGATTTCCCGATGGCTTTATCCGACCACGATCAGTCGGTGCCACTTCTTGGCTACTGGAAGAGTTTTCTCTGCCATCTATCCACTGTCCCTTGTCATGGTCTCCCCCATTTTCACCACTATCTTCGGGCATGGGTCTGGATGACTCATGTTTGGCTGGCTTGGCTCCTGCAAGCTCGCACCTTGACTTGGCTACAGCTCCGGCTCCGAACAACTCTGGGTATCACCTTGCTCACTGGCAAGCATCACTCCTGGTCTAAGTCCTTTGATGAAGGTATTGCACGAACCACCATCACTCATTGTTGTTTTTCACATGAGTATCTCACTCTTGAGCCCATCCATCTCTTCTCTCAAGGCCATCAACTCGACCCTGAGCGCATTACTCATCTCTATCAACATCCAACCGTGAAGACTCTGTTGCGCGACATCCTTGAACCCATCCCTCATGGATTCTAACTGTTCAAGATGAGACTCCACAACTCCTTGGACCTTCTTGGCTTCTTCCGTGAAGCTCTCAAGGTTCTTGATCCTCGACTCCAACGATCCTGGGATAACACCCACACTTTGTTTCTCTAGCTTAACCCAACATCATGGCTCTTCGCGCCATTCTCTGTGAGAACAACTCCCTTTTATTGTACCATCTCGTTTCCTTTCCACAACCTGTCTGGAACACTTGTTGAATCCACAACAGCTTCCATCAACTCGCTAAAATGCTTCTTGTCACAAGACAAGCTCGGATCACTGTTGAATCCACAACACCTACACTCCGACTTGCTTTGACTCGCTTTCACTAACCACGTACGCAGTGATCGTTGTCTGCCTCCAATGATTCACTCGGTCACTTCTAGTAGCGGGCTACGTTATCCGGTAACGTAACACGCTCTGATACCACATGTCACGGGGCTAGACTTCTGCTAGTCGATTCGTGTGACACTTAGACGATTTCAGGTCGAAATGGCGCCTAAGTCAGCCTTATCCACGTCCTTGTGAGTCTCTGGCTCACTAAGCGACGAACAAACCCTCAAGGGTTAAACAACAATGCGGAAATGACACTTAATCGGGGCTAATCCAAGCCACTTGGGTTGAAGCGATCTCCGAAGCACGAGCACTGTGGGAACTTCCTAAGTCACCAAGACTTGATTAACTTTGGCACTTTGAAAGAACTCGGAAAAGAACACTCTCGAGGCTATCTCAGCCCTCACGATCGGTAACACAAGCCACAAAGGCTTAAGCACAAAGGAGAACAAACCGACAAGGCTAGAAAGCTAGCAAGCTAGAAAGCTGGAAAGAATGAACTCAGAGAGAGTAAGAGTAAATGCCTGAGTTTTATTACTCTGAAGAGAATGAATAAAGTGAATTGATTACAAATGAGGGGAGGAGCTCTCTATTTATAGTTGAGGCCCTCAAGATCCAACGGTCTAGATCAAAGTACATCGACGGCTTAGAATGAATCCTACCTTAACAAGAACTCTATCTCTAAGGTATTTGAATTCAAATAAAACATTATCCATAATTAAATCCTTAATTATTGGATAATAATATCCTTTCTAGAATCTTCCAAGGAACGGGCCAGGTCTGATGGTTCTGGGCAAGCCCAACACTCTGTATTATTTTCTACAGAAATCTGCGCACACATGTCTCGGACAGAATCCACGAGCCTCGACAACATTGCCCCCATCGAACATGTAACACCCTCGTCGCTTCTCTCGGATGCCTCAGACTTGATCCTTCACGAACTCGAGCCTTTACGGACTCGTAAGCATTCTCCAAGAACCAGGCCAACTCGCCATGCCCAACAAGCCCAAAGTCTGAACAATAGAACCCCTTCTGTGAACCTTTGCGCCAATGTCCATGGACCCAAAAGTTTAGTCCGTGACATATATATACCATTTCTTTTATTAATGGTAAATGTGGAAGCCAGGTATCCTCCACTTGATGATCAGATTCCCATCCCAGAATGGGCAACAAAATGCACTACTCATCTAATACACTAACAAGAACAAGAAAAAGCTCCCTTCCCCCTTAATTCCACTAACAAGAATAAGAACTGGTCAGGGTGGGAAGGTGGACTTTCAACACTTGAAGGTTCTGCTTGAATTCTTCAGCCATATCCGTTGAAAACAATAACAAAATGAAGTTGACGTTAGAGATGTGTTTAAACTATTCCATTTGGATTCAATTTCTTATACATAATTTATACATCACAAACTGTATAACAGGATATAAACGAAAATAGTTTATGAAATTGCAAGTGAATACCGCATCATATGTTAAACTGAAGATGCCTAGCTTAAGAATGTTGGTTAGGCATGGAGTAGCCGACTATGTTACAATATTCCTACATTTAAAACTTATATTCAAAATACTATATATATATTTATATAATTTTGATCTTATGATATATAGTTATTAGGTAATTTTATGCATTAAAATCAGATACATGTCATGTACAAAATAGCTAGGCCGGACCACCTTTTTGTTTGGATATATAGAGGTGGGGGAGAACAAGTAAATTTTAATATAGTTTGTGGAATTACATTGAATCTGGTCTGGTCTTCGATATATAGAGAGGGGGAGAACAAGTGCTAACCCGCTTGCCTAATACATATTCCTCAATCATCGTTGTTGAGAAAGATACATTCAAGTCAACGTTAGACTTGAGATTGCTCAGTTTGGTTTGTTTACTTTGAATTGTCTTCGGCCACCGATCTAGAACGCCGACGTTTTGTCAAAAGTCATACCGTACGGTCAAATACAAAGAACTCGGAGGAGATCAAGTAAGGATTTTAGGTATTTTGACACAACTAATATTCGAATCCGACTAATTGGGGACCAGCCTGATTGCTCATGGCCTCATTTTTTATAGTGCCCATATTTTAATCATATTTTTCATTTTATAATTATGATTCTTAATTTTTTAATTACATTTTCTATTTTTATAATTGAGACATCTATTTTTTTAAATCTTATTTTTTACCTTTATAATTGAGGCTCTTGACTTTTTTAATCTCACTTTCTACCTTAATAATTAAGGCCTCTAATTTTTTCAATCCCACTTTTTACCTTCATAATCGAGTTCCCTATTTTTTCAATTCCATAAAATTTTCAATTTCCTATCACCGTCTCAATCCCTCTCATTAATACATTAAGTTTTGAATTAAATCTAACCATATTTTTCTCTCTTTTTATCAAATTGCATTCTTCAATTTATCAACTATTCTTTAACTCTTACTCTTCTCCAATCTCAACCTAAGTAAAATAATATATTATTATTTATTTTTTCATTTATTGTTTAAAATCAATACCCAAATTCAATTTTTATTTATTCTCTTAGTTGTATTTAAGGTATTTTCTTAATAAAATAATTAAAATAATGTTTGACAAAATTAAATCATTTTTCTACTATTTATTAATATAATATTAAATTAATGTTGAAAGTAATATAATATACTTTTATTTTATAAGAATTTATTTTTAAGTTTTACTTAGAGTCCCAAAAATGTTTGAGATGACTCTGTTAAGATTATTACCATCATCCTCCCGTTACTGGGCTGGTTTAATTTCTTAAGCAGCAGCTAGTAAAATTAAGAGTATTATAAACTATATATATAGCTGAAATGCATTTGGTATATAGCGCCATTTAATTTGTCAAACAAAATATTCCGCCATTCTTTTTCTTATAGAATATGAAGAGAGTCGGTTTGCCAACAACCTTACATTAATCATTGGGCAACTATGTACCCCATTCTACTTGTTAAGTGATTTATCTGACCGCCCTACTGTCAGTGTGACGACACCCACAAATGCATTTATCAAAGCCTGCCTTATCTCTTCCCAACCCTGTTTAATTATACTTTATCCTCAAAGAAAACACTCCATTTCACAGTCTACTATCTAGTTGACTTCATCATAAATTCTATTAAAACTTATATATATATATATTTAAATCCTTAGATGATTTAAGTTTAAATGTATTAAATACTTTGATATTAATCGCGGCTAAACTTGGGCATCTTAATACGCTTTGTTGTATATCTCAATTTCTTTAGGCGGAAAATTCGCTTGGGGAACAAAATGGGAGTGGAACTACTAGAAGAGGAATTGCCAAGTCACCAAATTCCTTGTAATCAGGTATTAATCTTCTCATAGGTTGAGACGGAAATCTAAACAAGGAATTAAACCACCGATGCCCTTGCCTTGATTATGCTTACAAGTTAAAACTAGTCTTGTATATACGTTTTCTAAGCGAGTAAATAAATAATAACATGGGTGGCCATTAGCCAACAAGACAGCGCACTAAAATCCTTGGCACTTGGAGTAGACAAATGGTGGCATCACAACTCACAAAGAAGAATCTAAAACTCCTCAAGGAATCCGAATCACCATCCCATCAATTATTCACTGAATAACTACGACCAATAATAAAGGTTTTTTTTTTAAAAAAAAAATATTGAAGAGAATAGAAGAAGAAAAGGAGGTCCCTTAAGCAAAGCCATGCACCTGTCATCCTAATCTAACGGCGTGCCAAAAGAAAACAAAGCCCCTCAGCAAGCACCCCGTTCCTATCTGATCTTATCCCCATGACATGCGCCGAGCATCCCCCTATCCACTTTTTAATTAAATCAACTATATATTTCGGAATATTAGGCCAACAACATCAGCAACGGTGGCCTAGAATTGCTGCTGTTTATAACCACTCTTTTAAGTGTAGCTACTGCACGTCCTTTTCATGCAACAAAGTTTCAGCACCCCTTCATTTGCCAGCTGCTTGCTACCACCCACAACCCCGTCTTTTATTGCGCATGTTAAGAGTACAAGAACAAAGCAAAATTATACAACAGTGAGCTGAAGATAAGGACCAAATAGTATTGAATTGAGTTGAGTAATAAATAAGCTCAGTAGAATTGGCACAGATGAATCGTTCCAGTGCTATGTACAGAGGGGAAACAATGTCTCACGATCTATCAAAACAAATACATTCTATCTGGCTATAAAATTTAATTAATTCATATGCTTCTAACGTAGAATTGTTTAGTTGACTTCAATTTTGGGTGGCATCTGCATCAACCCACGCGGTTTCTTTGCTGGGTGTGGGCTTTCCACTTCATCATCAGCACCGGTTACAAAGAAATTAGCCGGTGAGAATTCTGGCAAAGCCGGAAGGTTGAGGTCAAACTCGACCCGCTGACTGATATGGTTCATGTTATTGGTTGAGCCCACTCCTTCAGATGTTACGCCGCTAGCGCTAGCGCTAGCGATGGCACTGTTCCCAGACCCACCTTCATAGTGGCATCGCTTGTGGCCTCCCAAGGCCTGGCCAGTAGGGAAGCTTTTGTGGCAGATGGAACACTCGTGGGATTTTCCGCTTGGGTTCAAAGCGGCTGAAATAACTCCACCGGCAATCGCAGAGTTGGTTGTTGACGTTGACTGGTCGTCGTTGCCACCTGAAAGCTTACGGTGGCTGGCTTTGTGGCCACCCAAAGCCTGGTAAGAGTTAAAGGACTTGTTGCAAACGCTACACTTGTAGCTAACCTTCTGCTCTGTTAAGGTCGGTGGTGGTGCTGGTGCTGGTGCTGACACTGGAGTGAGCGAGACAGCAGGAGTCGGAGAGCGATGGCGGTGTGGGACTGAAGAAGTGTTGGCGGAGTTGGGTTCGCCACCGCGTGCGAGCATGATGAGACACAGAGCAAGGTATTCTTCCTCGGAGGTAACATGATCGAAACGCGGTCGCTTAGAACGCTTACGCTTGGTGAATGATTCCAGGCAGTGTAAGTTGCTATCTTCAAATTGGAAAGGAGGCGTAGCAGCTGTTGTGGGAGAGTTGAGAGCTTCTAAAGCCATCTGATTTCCGAACACAATAAAAGAAACAAGTTTTTCTTGTAATTGGAGCTGGAGAGAGAGACGTAGAGGAAAGCAGTAGTAGTGAAAATGAGAAATGAGAGTTGAAGGGCAGTGAGAAGTGAGGAGGACGGGTTTAAAAGGGGAGTGGGGAAGGGAAGTTGCGTGACAAGTGGTGTGAACTAACAAAAGTGATGCAAGTGTTACAAAATTGACAAATAGTTGGTTATTTGGCGATTGGCAAGAGGCTAAATGCAGTTGAGTTTTCTTGGTGGGTAGCTAACCTCAGTGGGTCAAACAAACAAGATTGAATAAATCCAAGACTCGTAAGAAACCGAGAGCCGTCCCTCTTTCTTTCTTCTTTTATATAAAGTGACAACACTTGGAAAGATATTATACAAAAGCAGAGCACCCCTAAACAGAGTACGAAATAAATAAATAAAAACGCGGTGAAATCGCCAGCTAGACAGGCAGGCCCTATGTCAAAGCAGCTGATTGCTGCTAAGACTCGTCTTTGGCTGCCGGCTCAATTAATTGTATTGCCCAACGATTATGATTCCCCCAATCAATTCCATGATTCCCCAATCAATTCCATGATTCTTAACAAACATAAATCCTTCCAGATTATAGTTTTGATGATCAATGATTAATAATGTGACCCTATACATTGGCAATTATCTGGAATTGGAAAAATAATTCCTATAAAATTTTAATTTGATTAGTTAATTAGATTTTAACTTGTTTGACATTATGAGATTCTAATTTAAATATGTTTAAGCACATTGATCTAATCATATTTTTAATATTATATGATACAACTCACCTTAAAAAAGTATAGTGATTAATTATGGTGTTCAAAAATGGTTTGCAACATGACTTGTGATTCGCGAGAAATTCGAATGGAAATACATATTTAATCACAGGTTAGTTAAGAATTGGGTTTGGTTCTATGCTTTGGAAAAGTAGGTTAAACAAATTGATCTGTTAAAACTTTTTCATGAAATAACTGCAACATTTTTTTTTGGCCAGTGGAATAGCGACCAATTTTGTTCTCTGGAAAACGAAAGACAATTTGGTTACTGATGGTAGTCTTACAACATACTTACCGTGCAAGAAACGAAGAAAGCCGGTTGATTATTCAGAGAAAAAAATTATTTACATTTGAGTTTGAGCTTGTAGCTGCCTTGGAAGTTACTCGAAACATCCGAATACAACAGGAACACGTGCGCGCCGACTAATGGTTGATCATGAACTGTCCATTTCACAAAAAATGTCACTGTTATTTGTCATTTGCCAAAAATGCTTAGCCCTTCAGTAAAATTAATAAAATAAATGGTCGTCGAAATTTTGTATCATTTTATCTTTTGCAGTCCAACAAGTTTAATTTCTTTTCTGCCTTGTCTTAAAATTTGGGTTCGATTTTGATAAAGAAAATACACCGATTGCACAAATCAATATAAAAATGTATCGCTAAGACCGTTGAAAAACCAATACAAAGCAAAAGGAAACCCATTTGCCCAAACACAAGAATTCTGATGCTTTCAAGTGGCTTTTACTATATAGGTCATTGCTTACATAGTCAAATAATTTTTATTCTTGTAGTTGGGTGGGTGCAAAACAAAGGCGACTGTTGCAGAGTACAAAAGCACCACACGTGGGATTCTCGTTTTTAGATTCATTGTCCAAATCAATTAGTGAAGAGTCATTGAACTTACCACATAATTTAGAAGCTTGTCGTTGTGAATTTATTAGTTAAACAAGAGGAAAGGTGAGTCTTAATTTATTAACTTTCAGTTTTTTTTTATTAAATACATTTGACCGATTAATCAAGTTGTTCATCTTTATTTTTACATGGTTCTTTTAAGTAATGAATTTTAAATTTACTCCGAACACTTTTTCTTTCCCTTAGAGTATCACTTCTATTTTTATGATTAGATTTAGAATTTATATATATAAAAAAGGCTTTCAAGTTTTTCCTTTATCTACAGAGAAAAATTCAGGGATATGCAAATTGAAGGCTGCAAGCTTAAGATGCTAAAGAGCGAAGCAGTGTTCTTCCAATGGACGAAGGCATAAAAGATTGTTGCGATGGGAACTATTTAAGATGGGACTCTTGCGCAACAAGATTGCGACCTTGTTAAAGTTATTTTTTTCCACGCCACTTGTTTGATTTGGACCATGCCTTGCTTTGCCTAGCCACCTTGGCCTTTGATAGTATCTGGTCTAATTCTAGACGCTTGCCTATATCAGCAATTTGGTCATGTTTAGAGGTTAACCATTTGCCTAAACCCAAGGCGTCCCCTTTTAAAATTTTAAATTCTTATATTTTTTATTGAAAAATTAGTTTTGTTCTTTGAAATTTATAAGTTTATCCCCTGAAAATTTTATAATTCGTTCCCCTAACATAAAAATATGCATCCATCCCTGCCTAAACCTAGAATTATATACATATATAAATACACACACTTTATATTTCAATCTCATTTAATTATTGTTTCAATGCAAAATAAATGTTTCAATTATAATTTTTTAAAATATTTAATTTTTATATTAAAATATGTGTCTAATGTTTGATTAAATTATTTTATTTGTTTTTTCCTTCAATTTTTTAAGAAACAAACAAAAATAAAGTGTAAATTTTTTAAAATTGGTTCGTTTTTAAAAAATCAAACAATCTAAGTCTCAAATACTTAAATTTTCAGAACACGTCACACTTAGAGTCTCCATTCTCATTTTAAAAAAATAAAAAACACTAAATTTTAAAAATTATCCCCAAAACACTTATAGTACAAAAATTCATCCACTCAAAAGTAAAATCAAAATCTAAATTCTCATGCATATATTTAAATTGCAATTGCGGCCACGATTTCGATCGCGTTGCATTTATCGTGGTTGTAGACATAACATATACTTTTGCGATCATTGCAGGTATCGTAGTTGTGAATCTTTTATATAAAAATATTTTTTAAAAATTAGAATTGTCGAACAATAACAGGAATAACGATTTACTATTATCATAATGGTCGCTACCCGTTAAATTACGATCGTGATCCGTCGCTATTATTGTGATTTCACTTTACACCATTATTTTTTCACAATAAAAATTTCGATCACTGTAGTGACCGTTATATAATAATTGTTATTCCATTATATGATCATTATTTAAATCCCTACTCTCAAGAAATTAATCTCAAAACACTCAAATTTTATTTATAATAACGAGTTGACTAAAAAAAGTCAGAGATTGAATAACTTATCAATAAAAATAATAATTTTTTAATAAGTAAATTAAAAATAATTAAATAATAAAACATTAGTCATCCCTTTTTAAAAAAAAATAGTCATCTAAAATTAAAATAATATAATTTTAAAAAATATTTATATAATAAATCATTTTATGTTGTCACCCCAACTAACAAAAAAATATTTATTTTATATTAAAATCTTTTGTCTATTACACGAATATATATATATATATATATATATATATGAAAGGATAAAGTATACAAATGGTCTATGATAATAGGATGAAACTTTGTTGAGTCTCATGATTATTGAAAGTTACAAGATAGTCATCTGGCTATAAGATATTGTTTTGTTGAGTCCCTCAACTATTAAAAGTTACAAAATAATCACCCGATCATTTATATATTCCAAACTCATCCTTTTTTATTAGAAAATTTGACAATCGTCTAAGTTGGAAGTCGAGTCAGTACTTAAAATATTATGTCGTCAAAATAGTGCTTAAAAGCAACGAGAATACCAATAGACATCGATTTTTATCATATTCCAATCAACATGTTAACGTTCAACTCAATCGGTCGTCAATTTTTAACGAAAAATGATGAGTTTAGAACATATGAATAGTCAAGTGACTATTTTATAACTTTTGATAGTCAGAATACTCGACAAAACAACGTTCTATAATCGAATAATTATTTTGTAACTTCTAATAGTCGAGAGACTAAATAAAATAATATTTTATAGTCAATGGACCATTTACACCCTTCACCCTATATAAAAATATAAAAATTATTTAAATAAATTTTTTTCCCCTAGTGAATAATCAAGCGATATAGAGTTGGCATTTGATCCTGTATAATGAGATCCTATTTGGTGAGCGCTTTCAGACATTATTGGCTTATAGACCAAACTACCCTCTATAATTCGGTGAATTTGTGCGTTACCGTCAAAGATATTGTAACAACATTCGAAAATCGGGTGATCTTTTCTAATCTCTTCCACCTTGACTCTGTTTTTTCTCTTTTGTTTTTTTATATAGTCGTCGGTGGTGCAGAATGATGCAAAGGGCTTTAATATTCTCTTGTTCAAACCCAATCTATTCTCAATTTTCAACAACGACAGCTCCACCTGACTACGCTGTGTTCCCCAAACGAGACGGCGGTTGGATCTCTCCTTCCTCTTCCCACCAATTACCGGTATATCGTTTGCGAGATTACAGGCGTACATTCCCTCCTCTACTCAACTCCGGTAATGTTTTGTTTCCTTGGCTTACTCTCTTCGGTACAATAAATAGTGTGTTTGTTGAAGGCTATTAATGTAAAAATAACATCGGATGTAGATATTTAAGCTCAGCTTAAGTTTTTTTAACCGTATATTAAGATGATGCACCTTATACATCCCGGCATCTTAGGAGCTGTTTGTTTACTTTATAATATTAAGCGTCGAATAATTCAAATGTTGAATAATTCAGAGGTTCTGTATGAATTAACTCTGAATGTGATATGCTATTTGATAATGACTCTGAATCATTCAAGATGTACTTCTTTTCTGAATTATTCAATACAATTTTATTGAATCAGTCAACACTAATCATTCAGAAGTACGAAACAAATGCTTTCTATTAAGATATAATCAAACATACCGTTAGGCTTATAAACATAAATGGATTTTTAGTGGTTACTTTTTATTTTTATTATTTTATATAAACTTTAGGGTGCTTTTTTGTTGGTAAGATGAGTGTCAACCGGCAGTCTTTCTCTTTCACACACACCGTCTTACCTATCTGATTCGTTGCCTTCTGTGTTGAGTTGGAGCAGCGATTGACTCAGTTGCAAATCAACCAAAAATGGCATCTCAAGATGAACAAGACCCTCGGATTTCCAAAATTTCTTCAGCGATTCGTGTCATCCCAAACTTCCCCAAACCTGGTAAAAAAGAAAACCACCCTTCACTCTTCTTTGCCGTTGGCTTTTTTTTTTTTTTGGACTTTATTAATTCTTTAGGGTTACACTTGCTTTTTGTCAGGGATAATGTTTCAGGACATAACAACTTTGCTTCTTGATACCAAGGCATTTCGTGATACTATCGATTTGTTTGTTGAGAGGTACAGAGGGAAAGATATCTCTGTTGTTGCAGGTAAATCTCCCCTTAATACACAGTATAAATCTGTTTTTGAACACAAGAAAATCACTTGATTTATGGGCTTGGTTACTAATAAGCTTTAAGTTCAAGAATCTAACAACTGATATTATAATGCTTATGTGAAACTGGCTGAATTTCATTCATTCAATGTTGTCTGACCTTTCTCTTGCTGTAATGATGTTTGTGCATTTTCTTGAGATATGTTGTGTATGTGTCTGGGATTTTTGTAGTTGATGAAATACTGATAGCAAAATGCAGGTATAGAAGCAAGGGGATTCATTTTTGGCCCACCTATTGCATTGGCTATTGGGGCGAAGTTTGTTCCTATGAGGAAACCCAATAAATTGCCTGGTATGATTTCCGCTTCTTACTTTGTATCATAATGAACTGTACGTTTCTATCACTTAAAGTTGTTAATAGCATTGAAGCTTCGATTAGCTATTAAAGATCCACAATGCTGAACTGTTGTTTATGATTTTGCGTTCTGTTCAGTTCCAGTTATTGCCCGTTTCTGCAAGAGATTCACGAACAATACAAAAGACCTTGATCTTTTTATTATCTGTTAAATGTTTTGATCTTTATTAGGGGAGGTTATATCAGAGGAGTATTCTTTGGAGTATGGAACAGATAAAATGGAGATGCATGTCGGTGCCGTCCAAGCAGGAGAACGTGCTTTGATAATAGATGATCTTATTGCTACTGGTGGAACATTGTGTGCCGCAATCAGGCTACTTGGTACTTCAATTTAATCTGGACTTCGGGACTTTGCTTATTTCCATCTTTTTGTTCCATAATATGATAGAGAGTGGCTTTGTTGATCACAATCAATTATGTTGTCAACTATAAGTGGGCCTATGATTTTAAGAACGATGATGAAGTGCCTTAGGGTTGTCTTCTCCTTTCGTTTGAACACCCTCTCGCTCCTGTTTATCTTGTTAGGGCATTGATGTTTATATGATTGGTTGTTTTTTGCAGAGCGTGTAGGAGTGCATGTTGTGGAGTGTGCTTGTGTTATTGAATTACCCGAGTTGAAGGTATGTGTTGCTAATCTCAGACCCACCTGCTTCCTGTTAGTCACTAATCTATAAGCTAATTCTTCTTTTACCTTCCAAATTGGTCTCTACAATAATGCATTTGTTTACACAGACTCGATAATTTGAAATTCTATGACTGATAAAAATACAGGTTGAGTTCCCAGACTTATTCCATAAATGTACGATGGAAAATAGAAAATAACAAAATAAAAAAGCAAATGTTAATGCATTGTAAAAAAGGAAAAAGTCTGCCAGATACTAGGTTGGAGAATGAATATCTGTGCTAGTTTAATATGGCAGGCCTATGCTTGAGCATGTTGCACCGGACAATAAGTTCTTAAAGATATAACAATTTCAGTGTTTTCTTTATTACAACCATACCTGTTCTTTATAAACATGATGTGAGGTTCCAAAAGGCACATTACTAATCACATTCTTTCACTTGTTTTTGTCTGTCATGTTCATTGGAGATTTATGCAATAGGGGCCTATGTCAATTATATTAAAATAAAACTAGCAAAGTTTATGGCAATAAATTCCATATAATCATTATTAGTAATAGCAAATTCTACTACAGCATTGAGGCATGGTTGAATGGATTTAAGTCTGCATGGGAATTTTGGCCTGTGTTGATGAAAAGGCAATTACTACAGCTATTGGAGCTCTGAAATATAGCTTCATTTCGGTCTTTGCTGAATGTCTTTCTCAATGTATGAACTGGTAGAACTTTGAAATCACTGACTTGTGCTTTCTGTTGTTTTCAGACATCTCATGTGCTATGAGTCGAGCATAAAATATACTGTATATTTCTCCTGTCATTTATGCCTTTTTCATTCACTTTCATGTTAATGTTTTCTTGATTTATATTTCAGGGCCGGGAACGGTTAGGAGACAAACCACTGTTTGTTCTTGTAAGCTCCACTTGATCTCACGAATTTTGTGGTGGAACCTTTGTTGAGTGTTGCAACAGAGCTTGAACTTTAGCCAAAAGCCTAAGAAAACTACTTTGTTGAATAAGAGGGCTACATTTGGTAAATTAAGGTCACATTAGATTGAACTCAGAAGTATGATAACTTTGATTTGGGAGTTATTGTTCCCTGTTTCTCTAAAGAGCTAGTTTGGAGGACAGTTTTATTTTACGGCTTGTAACAATGGTTGATTTGCCTTTTATCGTTGTATGAGTGGAGCCAGTGGCATTCATCGATATGACTCGTTGGTTTACACTACAAGACATCATGTTATTAATGACATCGTCATGTTTCCAAGCTGAGTTCACTTCTTCACTATTGATCTCATTGGTGCTATTTTGCCTTTTTTTTCCTAGGGCTAGTGAACAAAAGAAAACCAAAGAGCCTTCAAGAGAACAAGTTCTGAAGTGAAAACAGAAACAGAAACATGAAACTTGTTCCTAAAAGAAGAAAATTTACATAGTAGAATGGCAGGGGAAGAGATTCTTTTTAACTAACATGATAGTTAAAGGTAACGAGGCCACCTTAAACACTCATTGTACACTGTTTAAGACAACAGTGGGCAACACAGTTGAATGTTCTTTTACTAGAAAATCTTAAGCAGAAGTCTCGATAGGAACTCGAAAAAGTAAGAACTAGAAGATGAGAATAAGAGTAGTATCTGCGTAATTATGCTCGCCAAGCATTTTGATCTTCGAACCGAAGGCAAGCTTGATCTCATAATTTGACAGGTGAATTCTCGTAATTAGCAGCATGATAAATGCGTTCAAAATGTTGTATATTGTGCATAAGTTATGTTATATAGAACCACTTCTTTGAGCTATCCATCTTAGTTTAATTGTCCAAATCCAATCATAATTCTTCAAATTCACCAAAACTTACCAGAATCTCTATTAGCTAATTGAGGCATTTTCACATGTGTTTAATTGATGATATAGTATGTGTCATGTCATTCAAAGTAGTGATACGAAATATATTAAGTCATCAATTAAATACATATAAAAATATCAAGTCAGTAACATTTGTTGACCGTTAGTCAATTAATGATTTCCATCCAACAGGGGTTATTTGGACAAAAAATTAAAATGTTGGGACTAAAATGCTCTAGAAAAAGAATAAGAGATACTAATTTTGTCATTATGCCAAAAGAATTTACAAAAAAGTTGTAGTTAAAGGACCAATTCAAATAAAACATAAAGTTTTAAAGACTAAATTGAAAGATAGAAAAATTGTTGTAAACATAAGAACTAAAATTATAAGGATGCTCTACAGTGGTTGTGTGAAAATGTGGTTCAATTTTTTAATTAATCATTGGTATCTGATCTATTGATTAACTAATCTATATCGGGTTTTGCAGAGATTCATTATGACGCAACCCTTCCAACCTAATTTTCTCCATTTGTAAATGTCAAAGTGCGAACATATGACCTTACTTAAAAAATCTAATGTCTCGTCCCACTAAATCAACTAGTTGTTGGTACATGTAATTCAAATTTGATTAAATTAAACTTAAATAAAGAAGAAGTTGGAGAAACAAGAAAATAAGAGATTGAATCACAAAATAATTAAATTACTTAGTTAAAGATAAATAATAAAATAATTTTAATATTTAATATTTTATTATTTAAACTTTTAAATTCAAATAGGACCTAAACTCAAGATCTAAGTAACTAATTTGAATTAATTCAAACAATTTAAAATAAAAAATAAATTCTCAAGTCAATTTGATTTTTGAATACCCTTACATTCCAAAGCATTTATTCTCAGATTCCCCCCTAAAATATATAAACTAAACAAAGCAAAATTCTTAGATCTTTTTGTTAAATAGGGGAAAATCTTAGTTAATTGTACGATTTATTTTAGTCGGCCACCCCCAAGAAAAAAAGAGAGCTGAAGTCTGTAATTGACTTAATTTGGAATTTGTCCCCTTTTCTTTATTATTTTGTGGGTATATATAAAATGTTCATTTATTTCATTATTATTTTTATTTAATTTACCTTCCAACCAATGTATTAATTTCCATATTACTCATGAAATAATGTATAATCTTTAGAAAAATTCTACAACGCTCGTCGAGTGTGGATGAGCATCGTTAACGATGAGCACCATTAAATTAATTTATAAAATCTTAAATTATAAAACACTAAATAAATACTTATAAATTAGTTAAAAATCTAAATTTAATTTAATTAAAATATAATATTTATAAAACATTAGTTTTTAGGATAAATTATACCAATGACCACCTAACTATCTACCCCTTTTACTTTAACCATCGATTTTTTAATTTTGTCAATTGAGTCACCTAACTATTTAAATCTTTTCAATCAAGCCACATGTCGTTAAATATTAACAGAGGAGATGACGTGGTAGTTAATAAAATTTATATAATTACACATTTAGTCCTTATTACTTACACATTCTATTAATTTGGTCCTAACTTTTAATTAATTCTATAAATTTAATCCTCAATCAGATGATGACATGTGTCATTATGTGATTGTATTTTTTTATTAATATTTGTATTTAATTTAATAAATTTTTCATCCAAACAAATGGTGTCACGTATCACCAATTGAATGAATAGAAAATAAATGTAATCAATAATTGTTGTTGGTGGGATTTAACCCAAGACGTGAAGAGATGAAGTAGACGCCCCAACCACTGGGTTGCACCATTCAAATGACAAACCTATCACGACATAATATATATAGTTAATGACAATAAAGAGAGAGAGAAAATGGCCTAATAAGAACTCCAACATGAAATAATTGAATAATATGATAATATGATATATATATATATATACACACACAAATATTATAACTAACTAATATGTGAATATATTTTATTTATATTTTAAATCATTTTAATGAAAAAATAATAATGTTAATATATTATAATTGAAATATAACAAAGAGTTTCGTTGACTTAGAATTTTCTTTATAGTTGAGGGCTTATTCTAGTAAGCATTTTAACTTATGCATTGACTTGTTTATACCCTATTTAGATTAAGAATTTTATATTTTATTGTTTTTTCATTATATATTTGAAGAAAATTTTAGGGGAAACTTGATTTTATTGAATTGGTCTATTTTAATATAGAGTTGTTAAATATGATTAGAATCCGATCGACATTATAATACTTTAAAATATAAGATATGATACATTACAGTTCAATAAAATTATAATAATGAAGGCAATTTATTGCTTTAAAATATGTAAAGTGATATATTTCAATTATAACATATTAAATTTACTTTTATTTTAATTTTTGTATTAAATGTGATTTAAAATATAAATAAAACATATTCTTTTATTTATCAATTATAATATTATTTATTACCATTAAATATATTATAAATTATATAGTTTATGTTCTGTATACTAGACAAATTTAGTGGTCAAACTTAGTAGCTAGGGCGCTCAATTCTTCAGTTTGCGTCCCAGGTTCAAATCCCTCAAGAAGTGGTTATTTATTTAATTTATTTTTCATTCATTCAATTGGTGACACATGTCATTATCGGATTGAGGATTAAATTTATTGAATTAATTAAAAGTTAGGGCCAAATTAATAGAATTGTAAGTAATGAGGACTAAATGTGTAATTATATAAATTTTATTAACTGCCACATCATCTCCTCTATTAATATTTAATGGCAGGTGGTTTGATTGACCTGATTTAAATAGTTAGGTGACCCGATTGACAAAATTGAAAAATCGATGCTCAAAGTAAAAAGGGTAAATAGTTAGGTGGTCAATTGTATAGTTTACCCTAAAAACTAATGTTTTATAAATATATTATTTTAATTAAATTATATTTAAGTTTTTAACTAATTTATAATTACACGTTTAATACTTTATAATTTAACATTTTATAAATTAATTTAATAGTGTTCATCATCAACGGTGTTTATCCGTATTCGTCGAACGTGACCACATCACCCTAATATTTACTAATAAAAGTTGACATTTGATAAAAAAAAAAAAAAGAGAGTTGACATTGTACTATAATTACTTGCATCTAGAAGACTAGAAATAAGAGCATTGAATTTATTTAGTTTATTTTTTACAAGAAAAAGATAAGGCAAATAGAAAATGTTTAAGAATAATTAAATCACAATTCTTGAAGAGGAAATAATCCTAGACACATGCTTTTTCTTTAAAAAAATATATAATTTCAAGTATTAATATACCTAATATTTCTGAAGCAGACCATTTTGATTTGTTTTTTCAATCGTATAAGATTCTTTTTATTAAAAATTAAAGAATATTTAGTCCTCTCATGAAAGCAAAATAATTCATTATTTAATTATTGCTAAAAGACTGAAAATTTGTAATTATACATAATATTTCATGAAAATCGAAAAAATAAAAATTGATCTGAATTATAATATTTGGATAATTCATAACTTATAAATTTAAATACCATAATTGTTTTCTTAAAGTTTCTGATCAATAGGAAATTTTAAACAATCGGATTAGTTTCAATATTTCCCATGAAATAATATATATTCTCAAGTAATAATAGTTGACATTTGAAATAATATTAATAATGATAAAAGCCGACAATTCACTTTTTTTTATAAAAAATTGACTTTTACAAGTTTACCAATTTTAAAACCATAATTACAAGCACCTATAAAAATATATATTCAGTGAGCATTGACCTTATATGGTTTGTTTATTACAAGCAAAAGTTAAAGCAAATAAAAAATTATATCAAAATAAATGTCTTAATGGTTTTTTTAATAAACTCAAATTATTAACATTTTTTTTCTTTTTAATTATATTAGTTTTGTTTTAAAACTCGTTTAATTGTAACAATTTTATTCTATGATAAATGTTAATTATTATAATATTGACATAACAATTTATTATGTTGGCCTGACGTTCATGTGTGAATGATAATGCAATAAAAGGATTTAGCTGATTGTTTTAACTTAGTTCAAGGGCATAATTGATTTTTTTCACTTCGAATTCAGCCAAAAAATTCAATTATAAACCATCGGTCAAAAAAATCAATTAAGTCCTTATATCAATCATATTCACGTGGATTGTCATGTTAGCATCATGGACCGTCACATATATCTAGTGGACAACACCATTAGTTGCTATAGCAATACATTAATGGTCAACATAAGTCAAATAAAAAATTAATGTAATTAAATGAGTTCTAAAATACGATTAATATAATTAATATATGATTATTAATTTGAATTTACCATGATAACAATTCTTTGAGTTTTAAGTTAAAATAATTAAATCATTTATGTTATTTCCTTTTATTTTTTTTACTCGCTTCATCAATCCTTTCAAATTTTTTTACTTAACTAAATTAAACCTTTGCCTCATGAAAATAATATAAATTTGCTATATAATTATACCTAATAGACAGAAAATGATAATTATGCATATAATTATAACTCGGTACCATTGGAAAACTATATGTACATATCTATAATATACATTCCTTGACTAATTTTTGTTATTTTTTTCGATCCATGCGCCTTGACTAAGTTGTATATTCAATGTATCATCATAATAGTATGAAAATGCGTATTAAATGTAAATTTTAATTCAATTAACATTTATTATTTGTTTAGTTAACTAGATTTTTTTCGTTATGGTGCATTCAAAATTTAAATTTCGAATAATTATTAATTAATAATAAAATACGATTTATAACCGACTAAGTGTTTCTTAATTAAACTTTGCAGACTTTATTATATATAAAAAATCCTTTGTAGACTAAAGTGCAAAAACAAGTTTAAATTTTTGTAAGCGTGGACCGACAGTAGCTCATGCATATAATGTTGATGAAGAAAGGCAAGTTTTACCAACCATTGACATTTTTATGAGATAATATTAATTTTCACACTCTCCCATATTTAGTATTAATATAAGTAAAATACTTTAATATACATGAATACAACTAATTAAGTCTTAATTAAATTAATTAAGTTCACTATCTCTTCCATATTTGTCAAGCGAAGTGGTTTCCTTGCTTGTTATTGCACTTTTTAACGAGGGAATTAGTAATACTAATTAGAGTTCAATGTCTTTTATAAGAGTAACAATAATTTAAAAGGGTAACTTGCACTTTAGATCACCCAATTTAATATCAATTTTCATATAAGTCACAAATCTTTGGTTTTATCAAATTATACCGTTGAACTTCTATTGTTAACAAATTAGGTCATCTATGCCAATTTCATTGAATGTTTTTAATGTAAAAGTTACTTCAACATGCATTCCTAACTTATGTTTTAAATATAATTAATATTGGGAAATTATGGAAGTCATGGGTGGGTGTTGAGTGAACATTTCCATTAGAATTACCTAATAGAGTTGGTATAAGTGATTTAATTTGTTAATTATAAAACTTCGATGTAATTGGTGGCTTAAATGAAAACCGATGCTAAATTAAATGACTTATAATGTAAATTATCCTTGACACGTGACACGAATGCAGCAAACTCTGCTATTTGGTTCAAGGTGAGAAGTGAGGAAAATCTAATTCTAAATTTCCAATGAAGAATATTATCAGATTGTGACAACTTAACGATCCCACTTTTCTTCAAGTCCCCCCGACATGTTTGTTTGGAGAGGTCGTGCAATGGCCGGTGCAAGCTCCAAACAATACGTAAATAATCTACTCTGTCTCACACGTCAGGGTTTCAACCGTATCATACGGCCGAAAGTTCAATAATGTCAGTTTGTGTAATTTGCTCATTGATCTATTACAGCGGGTTCTTATTAGTATTTATTCCTGAATAACATATCACATCTGTCATTGTATTTTGAGTTTATCCACATATGTGACCCGAGTTTGTGCTGCTACAATATCAGCAAGCTTGGTGCATATGAATTTTCCTCTGCAATGGCTTAAGGATTGAACTGTTAAAACTGATCAGCTGTAAAGAGATGATTTTGTACTCGGGGCGGACACAGAATTTTATATTAAAGGTATAAATTTAGAAGTTATATTAGAAATTTAGAGATACAAATTACAGAAATTCAGAAATACAAAATTAGATAATCAATAAAATATTAAAAAAATTACCTAAAGAATTTGAAATTTCCAAGAGGTGCAACGGCACTCCCAATACCACGAGATCCATCCACGATCTTATCAATATATAATATTTGGTTGATCATAGCTAGCAAGTTAAAAGCAAAGACAACACGGTTAGGATTTTGCCAGGACAGGGGAGGAGTTTGGTCGTTACCGTGTCGGGATTTTTAAGTTCATTTTGATTAAAGAATGTCAGACTCGATTCCCACGATGTGCAGGGCCGTTCTGTAGCTGCACTTGTTTGTTTAATCCGCTTAACATTCCTGGTGTTTTATTATATTCAAAGGAAGGGTAGTCTACTTCTTACGCGTACTTCATTCTCTTCCCGAGCCTCCCTGCTTAATCTAACCTATCCAGGTAATCACATTTAGTCATCTTTTAATCATTGTTATTAGACCATTAAGTCAATTTAACTACAATTTTAATTATCAGGTCCAAGGACTGAGCCTTTTGGATTAATTTAATGGATGAATGGACGAACTTAGACATCCTATGAGTTGTACTTCGCCTGTTTAGTAACAGAATAATAATTTTGGTATTAAGAACTCAATAAACTAATGTAAGTCAATACATGTTAACAGTCTCCTTATGATTTGGTGGTATAAATGTGTGTCTAGTTTTTTGCTCATCTCAACCATCACACAGAAACAAAAAATCTCTTTGTTTTCCACCGCAGGCTTCTCAGTTTACAAGAGATAAAGATGGAGTCGCTTGCAGCATTTCATGATGAAGATTGTGATTCATTTAACAGAATGTTCTCCAATGAAGATCAGTTTGATTTCATGCAGCAGATTCTCCATCAGTTTTCCTTTCCCCCGGAGCATGACGAGCGGTTGAGCTTCATTAATCCATCGACCTTTTGTCCTAATCCTGAAGCCAATATGAGCATTGGCGGAGTCAGTGAGAGTTTGTTCTGTGCTTCCAATGCTCTTGATTCTAATTTTCACTACAAAATTCACGACAGTAGTCAGTGTAGCAATTCAAGCAATAGTGCTTTTGCTCCCCAGCCAAATCATGAAACCTATTTCCTTGGTGGTTCTAATCATATTACTGTAACAAATGATATCACCATGTCCTTGGATATTTCAATGGATATTGACGGGGTACACGACAAAATTACTGACTCGTTTGCCCTGGCATTCCCGAACATTGCAATGGAAGACGCTGCTAATGTCATTAAAGACTTGAGTGCTGACTGCTTTCCAGAGTTAGATGGTAGGCATCCTGCTGATAATGCTAACGAATTGCTGCTCAAGAGGAAGCTTGATGTGCTGGAGCTGCATGATGATGTGGATAAAATCAATACCAATTCATCTCAGACTACAGAGAAAAGAACCCGGCTTCCAAAAGATGTAAGAGAAAAAAAATGAATTGTAAGCTATTACATACATACACACACATGTATAATCTTCATTATTGAGGTTGTAATTCATGGTTTCGAAATGCAGGCAGAAAAAGATAGGAGGAATGTGCAGTCGAATAAGAACCGGAAGAACAATTTAAACGGCAATGAAGAGAGCAACATCGGTTCGGACGGACAGAGTTCTATCACCTCTAGTTCCGATGATGACGACATCTCTCAGGATAATACTAATGGGGGCGTATTGGCAACCTCAGATTCCAAAGCAGCTCAAGCCCTTAACTTGAATGGAAAGAAAAGAGCCAGCAGAGGGTCTGCAATTGATCCCCAAAGCCTCTATGCAAGGGTAAGAAATTTCCTAGCTATATCATGATCCCATTGGCGTTAGCCGAAATATCTGAATCTTTTTTGCTTGATTATTGCAGAAACGAAGAGAGAGGATTAATGAGAGATTGAGAATTTTACAGAACCTCGTCCCAAACGGAACAAAGGTAATTAAGCAACATTATAGTTTCATATATATTTCGTAAATGAGATTTACTTAGCTACTTTATAATGAAGATCCACAAAACTCATGTTCATTGATGTTGATAATACAGGTTGATATCAGCACTATGCTTGAAGAGGCTGTTCATTATGTGAAGTTCATGCAGCTACAAATTAAGGTAATTTGGTAAAGAAAACAACGGATGGATGAAATAAAACCTTTAAAACAAACTATGAAGAGGTTTGCTTTAGTCTAGGCACAGAAAGGATTTGAAGTAAAATTAATCTATGGTTCCTTTTTTACCATGATTGCAGCTTTTAAGCTCTGATGAACTCTGGATGTATGCTCCCATTGCTTACAATGGCGTCGATATCGGTCTCGACAAGAAAATCTGCACTCTTTTATGACCCTCGAAGTAGCCACCCTACAGAGTTGTTTTAAGTTAATATTTGACAACAAATTCTTATCGGTTGTACGATTCAATGTTCGTAGCTTCTCCTCCCAACAAAAAATTATTTGACTTGTATTATCGTGAAATCTGTACGAAATTAATTACATTTTTGGATCTGGAGGAGCAATTATCTCCCTTAATTTGATTCGCAACTGATAATTTGAGAAAATAAAATTGAAGATAAAAGAGACACAAAATTTACGTGGAAAACCCCTAAAATATTTAGGGTAAAAACCACGGGCAATGGTAGAAGAATTTCACTATGAGAAAATAGGAATTACAACCTCTCTCGATCTACCAAGGAGAAAACAATGATAATTCTCTCTAGATAAAAAGGAGAAAACAACTCTCAAGAAACTTTCTAAAATCTCTCTAGTATTAGAAGAAAGCTAGAATGCTTTGGGATGATTTTGAAGCTAAATGAGCTAGGGTATTTATAGTTGAAAACTAAGGACTAATTTGTAAATACCCTAAAGTTTAATGACTAAATTATGATTTAGCCATTGTCCAAAAAATCAACAAAACAGCTCATTTTTTTCGGTGCATTTAATATGCACCTTTCGGTGCTTAGTCAACAATCTCCCACTTGAAGATATGATTGGAACAATCATATCTTCACACCATTCTTTCTACCTTGTACCATCATGTTGCTTACGTCTCTGACAGGCCACAAGAGGATCGACACCAAGTAAATTTATCGGTATTGATCGCTTTCGTCATGAAATCTGCTATGTTGTCTTTGGTATGAATCTTCTGCATATCTACCGTCCATTCTTCCACCTTTTCACGAATGAAATGGTATTGAACTCGTATGTGATTTGTCCTTGAATGAAATGTTGGATTCCTTGCTAGATGCAAGGCGCTTTGACTGTCACAAAACAGAGAAACATACTCTTGATTGTGCCCAAGCTCCTCCAATAGCATCTTCAACCAAATTGCTTCTTTACTGGCTTGTGTAGATGCTACATATTCTGCCTCTGTTGTGGACGTAGCCACGACTGACTGCAATTTTGAAACCCAACTTACAGCTCCACCAGATATTTTAAACACATATCCTGTAGTAGATTTGCTTTTATCCAAATCCCCTGCATAGTCAGAATCTACATAACCATTGATTAGTAAGTTTGATCCTCCGTAACATAATGCAACATTTGAGGTCCCTTTGATGTATCTCAGGATCCTCTTCACTGTATTCCAATGCTATTTGCCTGGATTCGCCATGTACCGACTAACCACTACCACTGCTTGTGCAATGTCTGGTCTTGTGCATATCATAGCGAACATTAAACTTCCCACTGCTGATGCATACGGTACTCGAGACATCTCCATCCTCTCTTCTTCACTGCCAGGACTCATACTGGAGGATAATTTGAAGTTAATAGGAAGAGGGGTAGAAATTGGCTTACAATCTTGCATGTTGAATCGTGACAAGATCTTCTTCAAGTAATTCTTTTGTGAAAGCCAAATCTTCCTATTACTTCTGTCTCGGTGAATTTGCATCCCTAGAATCTTGTTTGCTGATCCCAAGTCCTTTATTTCAAATTCCCTAGCCAGTTGTGCCTTCAATTCTTCAATATGATCTTTGTTGGGTCCTGCAACCAACATGTCATCTACATACAACAGCAATATAACAAAATCGTTATCACCAGACCTCTTGAAATAAGCATAAGGGTCTGCATTAAGTCTGTTGTATCCAAGGCACATAATGAAGGAATCAAATCTCTTATACCAACACCTCGGCGCCTGCTTTAGACCGTACAGAGATTTGTTCAACCTGCAAACCAAGTTCTTCTTTTCGTCTTCTTCAAAACCTTCAGGTTGGAGCATATAAATCTCTTCTTCAAGATTTCCATGAAGAAAAGCTGTTTTAACATCTAGCTGCTCTAGATGTAAGTCCAATGTAGCACACATTGCCAAAACTACTCGAACTGTTGTTAGTCGAACCACAGGAGAAAATATTTCATTGAAATCAATACCTTCCTTTTGAGCATATCCTTTGACCACCAGTCTTGCACGATACCTCTCAACTTGATCGTCACCATTTCGCTTGATTTTGAAGACCCATTTATTACCAATTGGATTCCTTCCTTGTGGTAGTGACACAAGGTCCCATGTATTATTTTTATGAATGGCTTCGATTTCTTCTTGCATCGCCATCATCCACAGTGAAGCATCTGAGCTGTTTATTGCCTCATGGTATGTTGATGGCTCACCGTCCTCTGTTAAAAGGCAGTATGCAATATTACCTTCTATAACATAATCCGAGTGCCAATTGGGACGTCTTCTCACACGATCTGATTGACGAGTTGTTGGAGCTTCAGAACTCTCTGGTACTTGTTCATCATGTGCTGGTTCTGCTTCAGAAGAATCTCATTCTTCAAACTCTTTTTCCACATGTATCTGAGTAGTCTCTAACTTTTCAGCGCTATCATCGTCTTCTTTTCTTTGTAGTTTACCTTCTACAAAGATAACATCCCTGCTAATGATCACTTTGCGGGCAGTGGGATCCCACAAGCGATACCTCTTTACTCCATCAGCATACCCCAAGAATTTGCATTTCCTGGATTTTGGATCCAGCTTTGAAATTTCTTGGGCGTTGTACATCACGTACACAATACTTCCAAATACATGGAGGTTTGAATAATCAACTGGTTTACCAGTCCACATCTCCATTGGTGTCTTCAGCTCTATTGCAGTTGATGGAGCTCGATTCACCAAAAAACAGGCGGTATTGACTGCTTCTGCCCAGAATGATTTTCTAGGCCTGCGTCCCTCAACATTGCTCTTGTTCTTTCTAACAAGGTTCTGTTCATCCGCTCTGCCACTCCATTTTGTTGAGGAGTGTTCGCCACTGTGAACTGTCTTTTGATGCCTTCTTTCTTGTAAAAGTCATCAAATTCTTCGCTTGTGTATTCTCCTCCATTATCTGTTCTGAAACACTTGATCTTATTTCCAGAATCAAGTTCCACCCGCGCTTTGAAGTTTTTTGAAAGTTGAAAACACGTCTGACTTCTTCTTAATAGGGTGCACCCAACATCTCCTGGAGTAGTCATCAATAAATGAGACAAAGTATTTTGCTCCACCTAGGGACGTTACTGGTGCTTGCCATACGTCAAAGTGAACCAATTCTAGAACACTTTTGCCTCTAGAATTTGATGTGTTGAATTTCAACCGGTGCTGCTTACTTGTTATGCAATGCTCACACAAAGGAAGTGATACCTTTGTTAAGCCTGGAAGTAGTTTTTGCTCCACAAGGACTTTCATTCCTTGTTCTGACATGTGTCCAAGTTTCTGATGCCATAGCATTGCCGAATCTGAACTACATGAGGCAACAGAGGCTTCTGCTTCTACCAAAGTCTCTCCCTTCAGCATGTACAAGTTTGCATCTATTTTTTCGCCTTTCAGTACCACAAGCGCTCCACTGAACACTTTCATGATTCCTTTCCGTGTTTCAATCTTGCTTGCATTATTATCCAACAATCTGTAGGATAATAAATTTTTCTTCAGGCCTTTCACGTGCCGCACATCTCGAACAACTTTAATTGTTCCGTCATACATCTTCAATTTGATGGTTCCCACGCCAACAATCTCTAAGGCATGATCATTGCAACTATAAACAGATCCTCCTGAGACAGGTTCATAATGATGGAATCATTCTCTTCTTGAGGTCATGTGATATGTTGCTCCCGAATCAATGAGCCATATATCTGCAAATCGATTTCTTCCTTCCACGGTGGTTGACGCTTCACAGCATAGAGCATCTCCATCATCTGAAGTGTTTGCGGTATTGCCTTGTGGATTGGAGTTTTTATTTAGACTCCAACAATCCTTCTTCAGATGACCCTTCTTCCCACAGTTGTAACACTTTAAATTCTTCTTGCTCCTCGACTTCGATCTACCATGTTTGTGACTGCTGCTTTGGCCACGTTCTGTTGATCTCCCTCTCATCGTTGTCATCGTTGTCAACGCTTCTGCTTGTTGCAGATTTACTTGTCTGTCTTCCTTGTTCTTGCGCCGATTTTCTTCTTGTAGAACAGCAGCTGCAACGTCATCGAAGACTAGACTGGTGACATTACTGTTTGTCAAGTTGATGATGAGTTGATCATACGAATCCGGTAAACTTTGAAGTAGAAGTTCAACACGTTCTTGTTCTCCTATTTTACAGCTTAAAGATGTAAGCTGAGAAAATAAAGTGTTCAGTGTATTTAAGTGCTCCGTCATTGAAGTAGATTCTGGCATACGGAGAGTGTACAATTTTCTCTTAAGGAAAATTTTATTGTGCAACGATGTGGCCTCGTACAGTTTGGTGAGATGATCTCATATCTCCTTAGCTGTCTTTTTCTCCTCGATGCTTGACAATACTTCATCTGCTAATGCTAGATGAAAGTTTGCCATAGCATTTCCGTCCATTTTGATCCATTTGTTGTCATCTGCAAAATCCATCGGCCTTTCACTGATAGCCGCTAGACACCCGTCTTTCCTCAGGATGGCCTTCATCTTTAATTTCCACAATGAGAAATTTCTCCCATTGAACTTTTCAATATCAAATTTCGTTGCCATAGCTTCTTTTACGGATAGCTCCCACTATTTCACTATCGTGAATAGTTCTCTGGAACCTTCAAAGAATGGGTAATAACTTCTTACTTTCTTATGTTGGAGGATCCACCTTTTTGTGGCAACCACAAAGACAATAAGCAGATATTACACACTCTAATCTAGCTCGGATACCAATTGTTGCGGAAGACGGCTATCGGATAGAGCAAAATCGCAACTGATAATTTGAGAAAATAAAATTGAAGATAAAAGAGACACAAAATTTACGTGGAAAACCCCTAAAATATTTAGGGTAAAAACCACGGGCAATGGTAGAAGAATTTCACTATGAGAAAATAGGAATTACAACCTCTCTCGATCTACCAAGGAGAAAACAATGATAATTCTCTCTAGATAAAAAGGAGAAAACAACTCTCAAGAAACTTTCTAAAATCTCTCTAGTATTGGAAGAAAGCTAGAATGTTTTGGGATGATTTTGAAGCTAAATGAGCTAGGGTATTTATATGTGAAAACTAAGGACTAATTTATAAATACCCTAAAGTTTAATGACTAAATTATGATTTAGCCATTGTCCAAAAAATCAACAAAACAGCTCATTTTTTTCGGTGCATTTAATATGCACCTTTCGGTGCTTAGTCAACTTATAGTTATCAAAAATGAATGTCCTTGTTTTCGTAATTTAAATAAAAAGTGCTACTGTTATTGCAGAATTGTTAGACCCACACGTATTTTTCGTCTCACAACTTTACTAATCTATTTCAAACAATCACTGAATATTTTTATAAAATTTGGTAGAGATTGATTGCAACGAATAGTGGTCTAAAGAGTACAACAAGAATGACATTTTATCTGTTGCATATGAAGCCATAGCCGATATAACAAAACCAAAATGGTTACTAATTTATCAGTTAGAGAGATTTGGATTTCAGTATATCTGGCCGGGCAGCAGCTTATGAATCTTCATCACCTCCATTGACAGCATAGTGCCCGATGTTCCTACCCTGAATACAAAGAAGTCATACATGCATTCATAATGCACTTTACTGACACATCATTTAGAAAATCAACTTCATTGGAGATACCGCAGATGGCATCAGCTGCTTGTTCAATAGCTGCGTTCTTGCTTTGTTCAGGGCTGAATTTGGTGAATTGTACATTCTCTGAACCACAGAATGGAAAGAATTCAGTATTAGTTTCATACCATTTGGTAATTCAAGGCATCTATACTAACTTAAAACCATCGACTGTGACTGAGTTTGGCATCTTAAGTTAACCGGAAATTAAGTCATTCATTGAAACTACAAAAGTTCAAATCGTAAACTAAAATGTGTATAATTATAAAGACATTAATGTCTTTTAGACTTTTACTATTTCAAAATTTAAAATAACAAATAACTCTCTTTTTCGAAACTACAAATGTCATAGCCAGCAATGAATGGTGGGTTCAAATTTTACCATAAAATCAAAATATAAAAGAAATAACCGAGAAATAAAAAAGGCAAGTTAGCATGGTTACAGAAGCACACTAATGAGGATAAAAAATTTAATGATGAAGAAATACAAACCAACCTTTTCACCATTGGATATATGTTCACCGCCTATAAGATTCCTTTTAGTTGGAGTGAACCCCAAAAATATTCCAATGTAAAATCAAGTTTGAATTTTAACACTCCCCTCAAACTTGATTTTTCATTTCAAGCTTTTCTATGTGGAATACGTCTCCTATTAATGGCTTCGTGAAAATATTTGCTTATTGATCTTCAATTTTACAAAATGTTAATTCCACATTTTTGTTCTTCCCATGCTCTTGTATAAAGTGATACTTTGTATCAATATACTTGCTTTAACTATGGGAGACAAGATCCTTGGTAAGAGAAATTGTAGACTTATTGTCGACATAAATTGTAGTAAGTTCTTCTTGTGCCAAGTTTAGCTCGTTCAAAATATTTTTTAACCACATTGCTTGGCAAGTGCACGCTGTTGCAGCTATGTATTATGCTTCACATGTCGAAAGAGCTTTATTTGTTTTTTGCCAACACATCATTCTTTGCTGCAGTGAAAAAGAACTTGAAGTGAAAGAGAAACCTGTATCAACTGAGACCATGATGATGTCTGCAGTGAATCCCTCCACCAATCTTCATTGATGTCTCAGGACACTAGGGCAGTAACCATCCTAACAACATTAAGATAAATACCAGTTAACTTGAGAAGTTCCAAGAACCATAAGCTCACAAACAGAAGGACCACAATAATGATGCCTCAAGGAACTCCAATACATCCTTAAACAAGTTCCTTTGATTGTTAAGATCTTTCTTGGCAGAACCTTTACCACCAGCTTCCATAGAGAGGTCTCTGATTTGATTCAGAATTAACCAATTAGCCATCAAAGTACGAGTTCTATTTTATTTTGGTCATTAAACTAAAACTTATAAAATTAGCCACTAATATTTTAAATTATTATTAATGTAGTCATTACCCGTTAAATAATTGGGTAAAGTATAAAAATGATCTCCCGAATATATGATGGTGTTTTGTTGAGTCATCTAACTATTAAAAGTTGTAAAATGGTCATCTGATTATTTATATGTTCAAAATTCGTCATTTTCCGTTCAAAATTTGACGATCGTCTGAGCTGGATATTAACCTACTAACTGAGATATGATAAAATCATATGATGTCTATTGGCATCGTCGTTGCTTTCAAGCATTGGCTCAACGACATAATGTTTCAAGCACTAACTCGACGATATAATATAAATAGAGAGCCGATCCATAAGATACAATTCAAATGGTTATGAGATCGAATTTTATCATATCACAATTAACATGTTAATGTTCAGCTTAGGCGGCTGTCAATTTTTTAACGAAAAATGATTAGTTTGGAATATATGAATAGTTGGGTGATCATTTAATAAGTATTAATAGTCGGGAAAATCAAGAAAGCATCACCCTATAACCAGTAGACCATTTTATAACTTTTAATAATTGAGTGACTCAATAAAGTGACATCCAAACTGTATCTAGACGAATTCAAAATATTGTTGCCTGAATGACGAATAAACCTTTGGTTGTAAACAAAATGCGACGTATAGTGCTCGATATGAAATGGAGTGGTGTGGATGATTTGCACACTTCTTTAATGAAAATACGTAGAAAGTCACATTCTCCATTGCAAAGTACTCAATACTAAGAGCTCCATTTATGAATGACAATTACAAAAGAGAAGCAAAGCATTTTTATAACTAACTTGCTTTCCAACACTTGCAACTTACCCTACAAAAGCTGAGTTCATCAAGAAGAAACTTGTCTACTCATAAATTGCAACTAATAAACATGGTTTGATTATTTTATGTATAAAATAATACATTGATTAAAAACCTTATGAAGTGAAACGTAAGGTTGAGATTGATGGCAAATGGACCCCCAAGCTGTCTTCATCAGATTAGAAAGGTCTAAGTGTAAAGTTTCGTACCCACCTAACAATCAAGTAGGACACGACACCACATCTTCTAGGCCTTTGATCCTTGGAACCCAAATGAATGCATCTTTATTACCAGATATAATAAAAGTAAATTAAATATATTTTTCTGAAAAAGAAAGAAAGATAGTTATGTTCTTTTAAGCCCACTTGGAAGAATATCCGGGAATCAAATTGAGCAGTTAAGCAACAAGTAAAGCATGTTCAATCATTGTTCTTCAGGCGTGGACCGGGTAAACAATTCCGGGGTCGCAAGTTGGCCAGCTTTGGTTGTGTGGCTGCAACCAATAATTTTCAGGCCACGCAACTTCAATCGCTTATAATCAGAGTTGGCTTAGTAAAAATTAAAGCTCTTTACCTTTTAAGGTAAAATAAGGATTGGACTTTTATCCTTCCCTATTTGGCTTTTGCCATCACTGTTGAGTTTAAACCATTTCACTTGAAAGGAACTTGGAGGGCTGGAGTTTTCTGAGAGGGCAAAAGCTGCTTTTGCCAAGGATCTTGGAATGGTTTGCTGCAAATTGGAGACATTGTTGAACACGACAGCGTTTCTATAGATCAATATGTCACGGATTCAATACATGAACACAAGGTACCTAGGAATTCTCGGTTTGATGCAAAAGAATTTATATATAAAAAAAAAGATTGATCTTGATCCAGTCTTGAAAAGGAAGGTTGAAAGATTGGAGCAAATTGGGAATAGGAAGTTGGTTACAAATATTTGCGATGATCCCACAGCCTCAGGGTATGTTGTCAATGGATTCCTTATGTAAAAGCCTCGATAACGAAGAAATACCTTGTAGGAATGATCTTTTTTTTTTGTTGTTGGGATAAGTTTGTAGGAATGATTTTATGATTCGTTTAAAAAAAAATTTGGGGTGAGAGTGGTTTAAATGAAAGTTGAAATTAAATACAAGGATATAAATTATTTTAATTTTTTAAAATAAACTGTATTAATTATTAAATTTATTTAAATAATAATTTTAATTAATCAACTTTCAAAAGTTATAAAATAATAATTAATATATTAAATTATTATAAAGTGTTGACTACAATATAATAATAATTTTTTGATGAATTTAGTAATTATTTTATGATAATTTAATTAAATTTATTAATTATTTTTATAATAATTTAATAGATTTAATAATTATTTTTAAATTTTTATAATTAAAATAATAATTTAAATTAATTAAATAAATTTTAATATATGTTACATATCTCTTATCCTGAAATTAAGTAATTTACCTTTGTCTAATGGATGGGTCTGTAGTGCATCGTGCACGTCGCACAACGAAATACACCATTAATGTGACATATTGAAAAATATTATTAATTAAATTGTCCTTATTAAGTAAATATTAAAATAGTAAATTATATGTTTAGTACCTAAACTATTATTTTTGTTTCATTTTAGTATCTAAACTTTATTTTTTTTCAAATTTATACTTAATATTTCGTTTAAGTTTTAATTTAGTACCACGTCGTTAAAAACTTTACTGTAGTATTGATGTAACACATGCCACCACTTAATTGATTTAATAAAATTAATTAAAAATTACTGACAAAAAAGGATAAAGGTGACGTAGAAATTTAAAAAAATGACATGTTATGTCACATCAATATGCTGTTAAATTTTTAGCAGTGGAGTATCAAATTTAAATTTAAACTAAATGTTAGATATGATTTTTAAAAAATAAAATATAGGTTTTAAAATGAAACAAAAGTAATAATTTATGTACTAAATGTGTAGTTTATCCTTCTAATATTTATTTAATAAGAATAATTTGGTTAATAATATATTTCAATATATCATTTTAATTATATATTTCGATATACGACGTGTAACATAGAATTTTCCTTCTCTACCACGTTGGAAAAAAAACAGTTGTTGAAGTCAGTTCAGCTTCGAACTTCCTCACCAATTTTCTCTAGCACGACGGTTATGATATCGCCAGTATAGAGAAAGGTTTACTGTTGCCTGGAAGAACCAAAATTACCCATGAAATAACTAAAACAAGTGGATAACATTAGTTTTATTTTTATACAATTTCTTAGAGCTGAAGTACACTACACGAAATTTGATGTCGCCACAAATAAAATAAATCATTTTTTTAATAATGATATTTGAATTTCTTTAATGAAAAATAATAGAAAGGATTAGAATTATAATATACTCAAACAAGAAAAAAATGAGAGATAATAATCATAAATAAAATAAAAATATTAAACTCAAATATAAAGAGGAAAACAAAATTTTCTTTTGAGATGGTGTCTAACTTCAAAAGAACTAAAAAATTTCTATAAAATTATTTGTCTCTGTTGAACAAGACGTTTTACGAAGTGATAAAAGAGTAATAAACAAACCAAAGAATTTGACAAGTTATTTCGCTACACAATTCTGATTTTATAGACAAACAACCTTTTTACAAAGAAGATATCTGACAATATGTGATCATCGACAAATCAATAAGAAAACAAATGTTGTGAGAGTCTTTGTATCTGGTAATGATGTATATTAGCCGTATATTAGTCGATACTTTCAACATATTAGGTAAATTTTACTGGTTTTGTCATAATGAAACTGATTTTGTCATATTTATATCTGTTATATTGTAAAGTATCGATCATTTTTATAAAATGATAGACACTTTCAACATATCAGGTAAATTTTACCGTTTTTGTCATAATGAAACTGGTTTTATCATATTTTTACATGTTATATTGTAAAGTATTAATCCTTTTTATAAAAGGATCGATACTTTCAACATATCAGGTAAATTTTACCATTTTTTCCATAATGAAACTGGTTTTATCATATTTTTACCTGTTATATTGTAAAATATCGATACATTTTTATAAAGTATCGATACTTTATAGGCGCTATTACTGCTTTTCTTTTAAATTCCAAAAGTATCGATACTTATTTAAATGGAATCGATAGTTTCAACATATCCGATAGGTAGTTTAATGTAATAGGTATGCATTTCACTGTGAAAAATATTAATTTAAGGTTATCTTTTGAGTGAGATTTAAGATATTAATTTAGTAATTATACGCGTCTAATGATTTATTTTTTATGTTATGGTATATATTATTATTAAATTAAAAACAATAATCATAGATATTACATATTTATTATTATCTTTGGTTAAAATTATT